CCCCCCCCCCCCCCCTCCCCACCCCCTCCCTGCTCTTGATGCCCTGACTCTGGGATAGTTGCTTTCAAATCGACTATATAATGCCCACGAATTAAAATTTTACTTGTTAAGGGGAACCCACTTCTATTTCTGGCCATACATTGTAGATAACTATCTAAAAATAAATCACACTTCTTTTCCTGCATATGTGACTGCTATTTTGGCTTACAAACTGATTATTAGCCCATGTTATATTAAGGCACTAAGTGTAGGTGTTTCTAATTTTACTTACAGCTTTCTTGGAACTCCTTTTAATTTTACATATGTCAATTTAAAAAAAAAAATTTGTACAGATGATTCCAAATTTGATTCTGCTTTAACCTCTTAATACAGCGTGTACTGAGTTCTTAGAAATACGGCGGGGTATTTTTTACTAGTAAGGGCTGTAATCTAGATTTGGCTCACAATTCTCAACTTGGGAATGGGTTATTCCAGGAAAGAAAAGTAACACCACACCGTAGCTTAGTTACAAAATCAAAACTCCCCTATGAGGACATTGTCTGGTCTGATTCAAGAAACTGACGTGACAGACAATGAGATCTTAAATATGCTTAATGAAGGTCATGTGCTTGTAATTACATCCATTTATGTGTTATTTAATTTCAAGGTGATTTTGGATTTTGTAATAAAATCAATCAAAAAAAATTGTTGTCTCACTCTAAATTAAGCATTTTCAAATGATTTGGTAAGGAAAATTTTGGCCAAAATTTAGTTTTGGGAAACAGTGAGTCAAATTTGTGTGGATTTATAAAGAAAAAAAAACATATCCTTTTGTGTAAGTATAAACATTATACCTTGCTACTGGCTTTCCAACAATACAGATAAATAGAACTTTTTAAATGATTTGAAATGTGAATAATATTTTTTTTTAATTCAAGATGTAACTGCACATGGCTGTGGTAATGTATATGGCAGCACATTAGTTTCTAATAGAAAAAGACAACACATATTTTTGATTTTGTGTGTTTGTTTCATTAAGTTTGGTGTACTAGTTAAGTTTGGTTTATTTATTGAGTAGTGGCAGATTTAGAGGGGGGGTCAGGGGGGTCCTGTCCCCCCCCCC